TTTGCTCCTTCGCCCTGCAAAGGCAACATAAGATACCCTGCAACAACTGCAGGGCATAGCATAGCCCGCCTAATCGTGGTGATAGGCCCCAACGAACCCCATGTGCCGAGAGTCGACGCGCTTCGGCTTGCTGACTTTTGGACAAAAGGTTTGCTTTTGTGCACGCGTGCGTCTCCAAGCATGAAAAGTCAAGCCAGATGTGGTAGTCTGTGATATAGTATGACCACGATTCAACTCTCAAAATCAAATCGAAGATCCTCGTCATTGTGGTGGTGCAGAGGGGGAAAGATGGCAACACCGAATCAACAAGAAACGTGTCAGACGGAGCAACAAACAACACAGTAGAATATGTAGAATCACTAGAGCCTGCATGAATCACAACGAGGAATGCACGGTGCCTCACCCTTGCACGCTTCGCGAGGAAGCCAGTTTGAGCTCTTCAAAGCGACACCTTGCAGGTGTGATTCTTGGCTGAGTTTTGACTTGCAAAGCAGAGCTTTAGCCAGTGCCGACCTGGTTTGCTGTAGACTTCACACTAACACGCTCAGCTTCTTGGACGCAACTGAAGATACTGAAGCAGCCAAGGCCGTTACCTGATTGCAACATTATGTTGCTATACGTGCTTAGTTCATGTTTTTTCTAGCGCTCGACGCGGTCGATGCTGGCGCTATGCATGAGGACCTTCGCAGCATGTTGTATGAGTACTTGTAGGAAGCAAGGACTTGGAACTCACTTGCATCGGACTAGAGCTTCTGTCGCGCTCAGCAGTGGCAGCATGCCCTTCTAGTGTTGGATAAGATGATAAGATCAAGCCATTTGCGGAACTCGCCGTCGCAGAACCTCACGGAATACTGTCCTTCACCAGTCCTGAATCCTAGGAGCCTGCCTGCAAGGCAGACAGGAAGGATCAGGAAGGATAACTAAGAGCTGCCGGCCACAGAAAGGATAGAGGAGCGTCAAGCAGCGCATGAATGTCGTGCCAGAGATGGTTGTTCTCGCGTCCAAATTTCGAGACATGTTGCTACAGCACGCTTTGGATTGCAGATGACGGGAAGCACTTTCAGTTCAGTGTCAGTTCATGGGAGCGTCGCAAACCTCGCGCATGATCTGCAAAACCTCAGCCTTGCCAGATATGACTCTCTTTCCTCACTGTGCAGATTCTCCAGACTGGTGGCCTGCACGTGCTACCTGTTCAACACGTCCAGCATGCAGCCTACCAGCCAGCTCACCTCTGAGGAGTTTTTCAGGCGTGCTGAGCGTGCTGTGTAAGCTTTGGCCCTGTTCCCAAAGCAGAGAAGGATGACAATTACGGTCAAAACTCCCTCATGAAGCTCTGTTCCACATATTCGAAGTGCACTATGGGCCTTCTGGATGGGTCTTACCTGAGAGTTGCACGAGCAGACCACACGGAAAGATCCAAGCATGAATCTATGGACATGATCACAGGAATAGCCATGCCATGTGATGCCACTGACTTCCTGAGATGCCCCTGCAGCACGTAACACGTCAGAGTAACCGTCAGAGGATGTGGGCCTCATCCTCTTTGAGGTACATCTTGGAAGTATCCCTCCTAGATATCACCATAGCAAGGCAATGTCTTCATGGGTGGAGACTTTCAAGCTATGTCCATCCCTTCTTTGCTATTCCGTTAACTGTTCACAGAGGAGAAGAAAGAAAAGCAAAAAGAAGAACAACAAAAAGAAACGCGGAACCCGTAGAATGCTGACACACTCACATGTACGCATGTTCAGGATGACACGGGGCGCAGCTATAAGATAAGTGTCTAACCGCATGGAAATCCACATGACCTTTGCTGAAGCCTGGGCTACCAGTATCACCCGTTAAATTAGTCAGAAAGGAAGGTGAGTTGAACTTGCGTTTGCTTTTCCTGCCACGGAATCCCAGTTTGGTCCGCAAAAGTTTTCTGCTGGACTGGCTGCCTTATCTTAAATTATTGTGCGAGCTTGGGCGCGTGCCGTGCTCCGGCCCATGAGTTTCATTGTCAAGTCTAGTTGCTGAACTTTCAGTGTCAGCTGAGATGGCTTCACATGAGCCATAATCTAAACTCCTTAAAAGGGGGGGTTATTTAGAGGATTATATAGGGGACTACTATACGGGTTATTAAGGTACTATAGGAGTCTAGACTATACTATAGCTTATGTAGAGTTTCGTGATCCAGCGGGAAATGACTCGTGCAAACTGCCAGAACCTGACGGATCTGGCTGGGGCACTCAATCCACAACAGGTCAGCACCAAAGCACAGATGCAAGAAGGGACAGCCTGCACAAGCCAGACTGCAGATGGACACCAGCTTTGCGAAGGACACCATGACTGCTGAAGCAGTGGTGCGAGGAAAGAAAGTAGGAGAATTTGAAGAAGTCAGGGAAGCCATTTTGCTGCAAATGTGCCCGGTCTGGCCTGGCGTGCTTCTTGACCTGCGGCTGTCCTTACGAGCACCGCTGTCTCCCAGCAGAGAATCCAACCAAATCCTCAATGCCAACACAGCCAAGGCAACTTAGGCAACTAGGAAGAAGGTGCGTGCCTCGGCCAAGACAAAGCCGGCCTTCAGCTTCACTAAACAATGACATTGCTCACAAGATTAAACTTTGAGAGTGTGACTCCCAAAGGCCCAGGGCACCCATTTTCGCTCACCGCACTTAGCTCGCTGTTGATGCTGTTGCATGTTGGCTTGGACAGATCCAGCAAATCTCTGCAAAAAGTGCATGAGTCTCAAGTTCCTTTTCCATGCTTCGCTGTTTGGCACGGTGTTTTGTCAGGTCACTCATATCCCGCTCGCTGTGGCGCCGCAGACGACGCTTCTGGCAGTGCCTGCAGCCCAGGAGGAGCAGAGAACACAAAAGAAGGCGTCCCCCTCTCATGCCCCTGGCATTTGCTCCTTGCCCCTGTCCTCTACAAGCATTGTCTTCCGGAGGCACCACTCGATGTCACGCAATTTTCAAAGGTGCCGCACGCGCCTTCGCCACAGATGGCTTCGCTGCCTACACTTTCGGTTACAGGTGGACCGGCACATGGGAGTGTGTAGCAGACAACACGAGCTGGAGCTCCAAGGTGTGGTGTTGTGCAGCTTTGCGCAGGCTCGCTTGCTCACTGTACCCGTGGAGACTCAAACTTGGGCGCGGAGATCAAGTAGCTGCATGAGGAGGCAGATGAGGTGCCAGTCCCAACTTGCAGATTTTCTTGAGTTGTTGAAAGGGCTAGGTTGGGACTTGGGACACTTGCACATGGTTGCTAGGGTACCGGCACTGCTACGTCCATGTAAAACCCCAGGCCGGGAGAGGTGGCGGCCCATTCAATTTACATAAGTACAGAGCATTCCTTACAGTGCCAACGCGCGGGAGGTTTGATGATGGAATTGAAGTAATTTGCTACTGGAAATGACAACAAGGCGGCATGTACAGACTGAAGCCCTCAAGAGAAGGCAGGCCTTGGTCATGGGCAGCCGCCAGGTCTGATGATCCAACAAATTCCTGCTGTAGCTGTTGCCCCAAAAAATTGCGCTTTTGCTGTCTGGACCGCTTTCAACCTGCGGCCGTTGTAATGGCGAGGCGGGTGACTGTTGGTTTGGCATTCTCTGCTTGCTGGCTTCGCATCGTTCAGGGCGCGGCCTGTTGGTCAGAGCCGTGGGAGTGGGCAGGTGTGTTTCATATTCACGAAGCTGGCACACTCCTCTGGGGTGCGGAGAAGAGAGACGGGGCCTATGAGGCAGAGTCCATGAAGCTGATGATCCGCACCACTTCCACAGGGGATCACGAGGGCATCCATGCAGTGGAGCCTTCACACACTGCGTGGGACTCCACCGCCAGTCTTGCTACACCTGACACGGTGCTCATACCGAATAAGGCCTACATCCTCAAGTTCGACACAGAGTCCTGGATCAGCTTGTTCAAGATCAAGGTGCAGGCCGAGACGAATCTGGTCTTCTTTGCAGAGCACATGCCCACGGAATTCATGGGCCATATGGACACCTTCCTCATTGACGAAGAGGGCCATGAGCTAAAGCCTGCAGATGAGGAGTCCAAGGCCTCCGCTTGTGGAACCTCACGAACCTCAGGACGAGAGCCCAAAGGAACCATTGGAGGTGTCATCGGGGCAGCCCTGCTGTCCATGATGCCCACTCTCGTGGTGATATTTGCACTGTTCTGCGCCTCGGTCAAACTCAATGAGAAAGCGAAGACCATCTTGCACTACGTTAACGCTGGAGCCTCTGGGATTCTCTTCGGTGCTGCCGTGTTCCTATTGCTCCCAGAGAGCCACCACATGCTGGGCACCATTGGAGCAGAGTCTGCTGGAGCGGCCGCTTGGGGAAGCACTATTATTGCCGGTTGGCTTGCTGGTGCTTTGACCCACCAGATTGGCACCGCCATTATGCAGAAGTATGCCCCAAAGAAGGCCAAGGATGCCAAGGCCCTCGATTCCTCAGAAGGATCCTCCGAGTCTGCGGACTGCGCGGACTCGGAGATTGCAATGCAGGAAGGGTCCGTATGCTCCGGGGATTCGGAGGCTGGGAGCTCCCCAAAGTGGTACGTGGCCTTACCCATTCTGTTTGGAGACTTCTTCTGCAACCTGGCCGACGGCTTCGTGATCGGCGTGGCCTTTCGGCTCTGTGGCCCTGAGTTTGGGTGGGAGGTGGCCGCCATCACTTTGGCGCATGAGCTGCCACAGGAGCTAGCCGACTTTTTCGTGCTCATCCATGAGGCCTGAAGTGCCCTGATGCGTTCTGCTGTGCGGCTGCCAGAATGAAGAGAAGGTTCTAAATTTCCACGGTGCATACCAAAACGAGTGCGCAGTCATGCATAGCAAAGAAAGCACTCATTCTTTTCTGCGAAAGATTGCACCAATCCGAGCTTCGTAGGATGAGGATACACAAGCACGTGAGATGCACACAAGTTGAGAGCGATACTTGTAGCGCTCACGAGTGTGTACCCTGAAAAGTCCATTAAAATTGCCCGCAATGCTTGTGGCATTGTCCAGTGCCGCCCTTCTTGCCCAGAGTACTTGCAGACAAAACATGCACAGCCGAAGTGTAAAGCATTCAAAGAGGTGGGGAAAGGAAGGAGGTCACTACCAGCAAGGAGCCCTACCACACTCTCGGAGACTTTTTATCTAGGAGCTCAAGTGACACAAGTCTGATCACGGGAGCTTTGGAGCCTTAAACGCGGCACCGAATCAGAAGCAGATTGAAAAACAAAGCAAACCCTGAACCCTAAAACCCCAAACGTTGAACCTAGAACCCTTCACCTGACGCAAGTCACCGAATCCGAGGCAGAACTGGCTGGGAATTGGCTGGCTAGTGAAAAACTACTTCCAACACCCCGAGGCCATATGAGCGACCGCTGTTATTATCGTGTAGGAGCCAAGAGCAGGCAGAGATAAAATTCAGGGACATGAGCAAAACCCTAGTAAAGCCATAGGGCCCCCCCAAAAGCGACACCCCCGAAATGGATGACAGCAGTGTGCAAAAACCCTGTAAAGCGATA